TAACATGAAATGTTAATGGTTTCAAACCATTATTTTCTAGGGTAACAATGTATGACACGACGCGTTAAAGATGTAAGTTTGATATGTTGTAAAGCGCAAGGCAGTCAGCAGTTATTTCAAGCCACATTACGTTGTTCCTGGAAGGACACCAGAAATTGCCGTGCATGCATGCACGTCATGGTCACCATTCTGATTCACGTGATATGGTATTTTAACATTCACTCTTGACATGACACTTAACACGATGATCCGGCGATATGTAACCACAAAGTGTATTCATGATGAAGTGTGTGTGTATGATTTCACCGCCTGCTGTAACTCAATGGCAAAATTGAATTTGTTCTGCGTTTTATAAAACAGCTCTTCCACCGAAACCCGAATAACAGCACCAGTCTGTGAAGAAGGATGCGGCATACGGTAATTGGAAAATTTTGTACACGGAAACTTGCGCGGCTTCGAGTTATGACTTCTGGCTGGTACGCGTGTGACACCGGCGTCGTTGGGCAACAGGGCGACGTTCGCGTCATGTTTGCAGGCTTCATCTGGCCGTGACGAAGTCATATGGTAATGGTTAAGATGGAGATAATTTCTATTTTTGGATGGGTAATTGAAATATTTCATTTGATGCTAATCTTGCAATAACATAAATAATACTAATACTTCTCCAAGGAGTTATAAATAAGGATGTAAGAGATTCTTATGATATAAGAATATTGATACTTGTAATTAGACGAAATTCATCAGTGTTGTGGAATAATAATAAAATTTGATTCATATTAACAAAAAAATTCAAATTGTAATAATATGAAAATAAAATATGAGAATAAATGTCCGCAGATTAGTTTATGTAAAATTATTAATTTGGGGATAGTTATAGAAGAAAATCTTTCTCTGAAGTTTTATTAAGATTTCTTAAGTGACAAATTCATCCCTTGAGGAGCTGCGACATGACAGGTGAAACGTTGGGCTCTCAACCACCGAGCGGCGTCACCCGGTCAGCCAAGAAGTCAACACGAAATTTGACCTTGGTGTAAATATTTGCAGTAAGTGCATTGTAAGTCACATGCGCTCGAAGCACATACGTATGTAGTGACGTGTACGTGGCACGTGAAAGTGACATTCTGCGTTGTACGTGAAATGCCACGTACGTGACAAGGAGTAACACGTGGGTAACCACTGACAGTAGTAATTTGTCAGTGGACATACGCGTGTGTCATGGTGACAAATGACTCTTCCAGTTATACACCAGAATTACATTATAATATGAGACTACCATGCAGGGCACTCATAAAAACATCGGTATTTCCAGGTAAAACCTACTTTTATGATACAGAGCCCAAACTACGACATAGCAGAATTAAATATGATACTTTGCGATTCAATCTCTGTACCTATTCTTTTTGATAGCCCTGCTAGTTGATTTGTATGTTGTCTGAGTAGTACACTGCCACCACGCTCAACGTTAAACACCACTATCATTTACTGCGAATAATGATCTTACGATGATGCTCCCGAGAAACACTACTGAAGCAAACCAACAATTCTACTCTTCTCCGCGTTTTGCTCCGCAAACTTTTTACTCGCAATTTCGCCCATCACACGCCAACAGCGCCCCGAACAACCTACAGCTCTTGGCGGCACCTAACGACATGACAAATGCCTTGCCTACATAACTGACAACCAGACATTCATTTAAAACCTACGTTAACATTTCGAGACTAAATTTATCCCATATCAAAACATGAATATGGTTACTTAAAATCACCTCTTTACTCCCTTTTATTTTCGAAAACCTCGCAAGACAGTAGTGGTCGCTGGATCTTGGCACCTAGCGGGGAAATTCATCGTCTCCTGCCTGATAGCATGCACTACATTACGAAAAAATCGTTGAAGTTGCGCGTCAAAAAACCTAACCACCAAACCAATCTAATTGGCGCTATAAACTACACCAACTACATTGATTGTATAACCTACTTTTACGATTTAAGAGCTATATTAATCTCCATAGCAACATTGATATGAATTACATTTAAAATAATCTCTACCTTTTTTCGACAAACCCAGCAAGACGACATATACATCGCCGCGGATCTCACCATCCAGCGGGGAGAAGTATAGTTACCTTTCAGTCGTAAGAATACAATTACACTTCGGGAAGTAAAACCGTACCAATTTTAAAAAAATGGGAAATTGTGGTACAAAGAGATGACTTACACTATCAATCTGAGAAAATATTTATGTATTTGCAAATAGATTTAACGCCTACGTGTGCTACAACATAATTCTTCTATTTCCGAAACAAATTCCACCTTATCCCTCTTTGCAATAATTTTTTGAGGCTTAAACGTGCAATTAATGTTCATGTCTGGTCGCTTTCATCCTCAATTTCACAATGGTACCGAACATCGGTAATATGAACTAGAGATTACAGAAGTTTGCAGCAGCACGTTCTAGACACGAAACGTTAAAGTTTATCTCAAACACAAGTGTTCATGTTTTTTTTTTTTTTTTTTTTTTTTTTTTTTTTTTTTTTTTTTTTTTTTTTTTTTTTTTTTTTTTTTTTTTTTTTTTTTTTTTTTTTTTTTTTTTTTTTTTTTTTTTTTTTTTTTTTTTTTTTTTTTTTTTTTTTTTTTTTTTTTTTTTTTTTTTTTTTTTTTTTTTTTTTTTTTTTTTTTTTTTTTTTTTTTTTTTTTTTTTTTTTTTTTTTTTTTTTTTTTTTTTTTTTTTTTTTTTTTGCTAGTGTTCAGGAAGCCGGGAAACTGTTCAGCCATCTACCTCTTGGTTCCACCGTTCTTCCGCGCCCTTCTCTACTCGGCAAATTCCCTATCCACGGCCACAGCGTTTCCGAACGCCGAGTTGCAAGAGCTTCGGCGACGCGTAAAAACGGACATGGACAATTCCGGCCGAGGGGTGGGCGTGGGCGTTGGGCGGGGGTCCTTTGATGCTCTATCAGCGGCGCCGCAGCCACGCCGTCCGCCGCACGGCAAATCACTGCGCCGCTAATAGGCTGATTTGGATTGTTCTCCAGCACGGCCACGCACTCTGCTGGAACGCGCGGGCACGGTGGGCGTTAGGCGGGGCAAGGGGACCGTCCACATTTAGCAGCGTGGCACGGTACATCGGTTTCTGTGTGGTTCTGGCCGGTAGGTCCTAAACGCAGATTACCACGGATTTTTTATAGTGGTTGCGAAACCGTGTTGCGTGGCACGGGATAAACATCGTTGACTGTGTGTGTCCAAGTGGTTCTGGCGGGAGGGGGGGGGGGGGGGGGGGGGGGGGGGGGGGGGGGGGGGGGGGGGGGGGGGGGGGGGGGGGGGGGGGGGGGGGGGGGGGGGGAGGGGGGGGGGGGGGGGGGGGGGGGGGGGGGGGGGGGGGGGGGGCGGGGGGGGGGGGGGGGGGGGGGGGGGGGGGGGGGGGGGGGGGGGGGGGGGGGGGGTGGGTCCTATGGTTTCAGAAGATAGTAGCGGATTTTTTGATAGTTGGTTGCGATAACCCTTGGCTGCGATGGCCGCGGTTGCGATACAAGCAGCCGTTGTCTGAACGAGAATTCTAGCAGGCGACTACTCTCGGTAATTTAGAGTGGTTTCTCCGAACAATACCAGGCGAATGCTGGAATAGTACCCTAACAAACGGGTCACGGACCTCATGCGATATCTTGATTCCTATTCCTTGTTCTATCCTCCTCCCCTGCTTACACACACACACACTTACATGCACCACACAGGTCGGAAGACCATCTGCGTAGTCCCAGTTAGGTCTGTGCGAAAGAGGTCTCGCGGTCGTCGGATCTAATGTTACGGTGCGGAAGGAATCATTCCAATTGTTAGTTTACGCTCGTTATTTGCCCTTCGTCTGAAACTTCTTTCTCTTTCTACATGTATATGTTTTTATTTCTTTTCCTTTTGCTTGCGTTTTCCCTTTATTCTTATTGCTCTCTTCCTGTCATCCTCTTCCGCCCGCTTTCTTACACTCGCACTTCTCTGCTCCTTTTCAGTCTGTTGCTTTCAGATTACTTTCTTTTAGTATGCTATTCATTTTTGTTCACTCTCCCATTCACTTTATTCTCCCTTTCTACCCGCTCTCTCTTTGAGCCCGTCCTTTCTCAGAGCCCGTTCTTCTTTTGAGCCCGATCTTTCTTTGACCCCGCTCTCTCTTTGAGCCCGCTCTATCTTTCAATAAGCTCTCTCTCAGTACAACCCCTCTGTGACTCTCTCTCTCTCTAACTTCGCACTCTCTTTCAGTCTGCTCTCTCTTTCTGTCTGCTCTTTCATTCAGTCTGCTCTTTCATTCAGTCTGCTCATTCTTTCAGTCTGCTCATTATTTCAGTCTGCTCATTCTTTCAGTCTGGCCTTTCTTTCAGACTGCTTTCTTTCAGTCTCCCCTCTTCAGTTCTGCTCTTTCGTTCAGTCCGCTCTCCCTTTCTCTTCATTCTCCCTTTCACTCCATTCTCTCCCTCTGCACTCTTGAGTCCGTCTCTCCATCTCTGTTATTCCCCTCTCCCCCTTCCGAACACACTTTCCCTCTCCTAGCCTGTGGCTCTCGCGTCTATTCACATCCAACCCCACCGCGAAAGCCACCACCACCACCGCTGCGGGAGGTCGTTGGCGCGATCTGCAGGTCAGGCAGCGGCCGTCGGCCGCGATAAGCAGGGCCTGCGGACGGCGCGGCGAGGCTGGCCGAGGTGAGGCGAGGCGTGGCGAGGTGAGGTGAGGCGGCAGCGGTGGGTGACGTGGCCCGCATGCATCACCCGCTTCGATATATCGACAGCCGTCGGTGCGCCTCCCATCCGTCTTTCCGAACGCTGCCCTCATCCCCTCTCCCCTACTTCCTCTCACTCACACACACTCGCTGCTCTCCCCGTGCGCTGTGAGGCTTTTGCGCGTGCGTGCTGGAGGTTACCTGGCAGTGTTGCGTACTGCGGTGAAATGTGACCGATGGTGGGACGTGAGATAAATTGAGGAGAGATGTTTTGAGGAGGGAATTTGATATGAAATTATTGTTATTGTTGTAAAGGCGGCTCCACGCCACAGTTTACCGAGTACTCAGCCGCTGCTCGCGTTAGCCCCGAGTATAAACCGCGACTACACACCAAAATAGAAAAATATCAGAAAAAGTATGAAACCTTACCCAATATTTGAAGCTAATTTTACGCTCTAAGGGGAAAAATATTCCGTCATTCAAAAAATCAAATTTTTCTGAGGTTTTTGGATGTTCGTGTTTGTTCTCCCACGAGAACGTATGATAAATGCATCTCTTTGTATATCTCTGATTTTTGGAAAATATGAAGTACAATTTTGTTACCATCGAGTCTAAAATTGGCCTTTAATTTTGGATGCTTTTTCATTGTCTAGCAATGATGGGGAGTTGAGTAAAGTTAGTTCAACTTCGATGACGACAAGAGAGGCAGTGGTTGAATTGACGTCGCCGTGAATGATACACAAGAAGAGGTTTCACTGTTTTGAATATCGGCATAAATGCCGAGTTGAAAACTATATACACAATGAGCTACCAGGAGCTCGATCATACAGTATTTATATGGAATTCAGTCACTTCGACGTCATAAGACGCGGAGTTGTGTGGAGGGAGGTGGGGGTAAAGGTCAGGAATGACCAAGGGTCGGAGATGACCGAAGATCAGTGAGGTGAAGCAAGGTCCTAGGGCTGTGTAATCGCCGCTGGCTCACTCTGCAAAACAGGTAATGACTTCCGTTTGTCGGGCGCCTGGGGCTGTTCTGACGACCTTTCCCCTGACCCACGTGACAGCGTTGGCTGCGTACGTAACTGTTGTATATTCTAGTTGGGCGCAGCTAACCATACACTAAAGCTAGCAGCACTCACTATTTCGAGAAATCCCAAATAGCCTAAAATCCATAAGAATATTGCATTGGATTAGCCTTTAATTTTGGATACGGTTTGGTTGACATGGTTTTTTGGGTGCTGATAGCTTTAGATTGCTTCGGCTTCGTGGAGAAGGGATGGAGAAGCAACATTACAAAAGCGCATGAGTAGCTATCACATTGCACCTATTATTGTCGTCCCTGTTCGTCGTCCCGCAGTCAAATCTATCCGAGGGTAAGAGTGCACTTTAATTCTGAAACAAAAAATTATTAAGGGTTGTCCATAAATTACGTAATGCTGAAGAGGGGCAAGAGGGTCTGAGGCAGCCTTACGCTGCGTTACATAGGGGTATTAGTTAACTGTTACGTAACTTTGACATCTTTTTTAAAAAAAATCAATACTTGCTGAAATAATTACTTTTATGAATTCTGCAATAAAACGTTTAAGTATTAAATAATTCGTTTATTAAAAAACAGAAAAAATTTAAGTGGTTTTAAGTTTGTTTTAATTTATGTTGTTTTATGTTAAGTTTGTTTTAATTTAAGTTGTAAATATTGCTGTAAATGGAAATACTTTTTCAACATTTTGTTATTGAATCTGTAAGATTACTAAGAAAATATTCAGAACTCATATGTAGTGTATTATAGTAACTATTTAAATCGGCGCAGTACACTCTCGTTCATGCGTCATCTACGACGGTATGTGCACGTATTGTTATCGAACATTCTCTCGTCCATGTCTCCTTCCAATATCCCACTCTCCATTGTTAAGTATAGCCAGCATGGCCAAATGATTTCCACTTTCATTAATTGTAATATACAACACAAATAAAATAAATAGAAATTGTTTTTACTGTGCCATAATTTATATTCATTTGTTGCATTATTTATAAGGGGATGTCGCACACATTACGTAATTATTTAAAGGGTTCAAGCAGGCTCTATGAGTGCGTTACAGGGGGAGAAGTTAAAAAATACTCTGTATTTGCGTTACGTAATTTATGGACATTCCTTACACAGCCTCTTGAAAATTGTTAATAAATCACATGTTGTTTTTTTATCGATCCATTTCGATTCATCTCGACTCCTAAAAGTCAACGCGTTGCTAAGCTATCGACTCTCGAAAGAAGACACACGTAAACACATGCGAAGTCGATCAGAAGCCAATGCTTTTCAGCGTAAAGAAGATGAGTCACTTTAGATCGGCAATCCTGTAGGTATTTTTTCGGGAGTGCTTCACATTCACTCGTAAATACTTCGCCGGCGGGTTGCCGTGCGGTGCATAAGAGAGTTTGAAAGGATGGGACGGGAAAGAATTAGATAGCCCCATTAGCGGTATTGGATCGTGAGGGGACTACGCTATTACGGACCGGAGAGTGAATGTGATTGAAATTGTTTCTTTGCTGAAGAGCATGGATGTTTATTTCCCCCTGCAATACTTTTAAATATTACCCTGTTTATTTCTTGTTATTTTCGTAATTTAAACACTCTCTTACATTGTATGTACTGATTGTTGTGTTCTGTCTTCATAAGCTTGTTCCTATTTATCTTCATGTAATTATCTCTCCTGAATAAGCAGGGTCAGCAAGTTTTGCCCCGTGCTACTCTATTAGTAATTGATTTGTCTTTCCCTCTAGAATTTGACTTTCATTTCTCAATGAATTGGTGCCTTGGTTTTCAACTTCACCTCAAAGAAGTTGAGTTTTTCTCTTTTTTTCTTGCCAACTGTCCCATTTTATTCCTTCATTCTTCCAGATTATCAATTTATTTATTTGTATGTTTCTGCTGAGCATCAACAGCCTATGCCGACCACCGCAGAGTATATTAGTGATTTTCGTTTCTGCTAAGAATTTGGTTATGCTGCTTTCATAGAGGTGGGCATGTCTACTGTCGCTCTGGCTTCAAGTAGCAAACATTAGTACTATTATGGCGATAGAGGTTTTCTAATTTAAAAAACTTAACAGAATATAAATTTCTGCTCGACAACTAAAAATTTCTGCTTGAAAGAAATTAGAAGAATTTCTCAAATTATCTCCTTGCTTCAATTTATTTGTATGATCCCAAAAAAGCGAAAAAGCTTCTCACACCCGTCAGTCGACTACATATTTCATACGCACGTAAACGACTAAGAACATCTCATAAATATACATAACAGCCTAATGAAACAATTAAACAATGATAAAATATTTATATTGAGGTCATTGTTTTGAGTATTTTAATGAACTACATCTAAAGTGAATATTACTAAATTGTATTTCATTAAACTAAAATCTGAATATTATTTCACACTTTTTCACACAATCACAACTCAGTGATTGATCTAAGTGTCGTTTACTTGCTCTTTGTTTGAGTATTAGTTAGAAAATTATAAAGTTTAGATATTATAAAGTGACCGTTTCAGAGTTCTATATTTTTATTATGAGAACATTATTTTCTTAACACAAAATGATAGTTTCGTCTATTGACACCTATCGTGTGTTTACAAAAAAATCGAAATCTTGGCGATACGTTACGCGTTTGTTTTTTACATCCATGGCCGCTAAGAAACTCATTGCCACCGTACTTCAGTGTACTATTTCGAGAACAGATGAACACTCAGAACAACGCAGTGAATGAATGTCAAACTAGTTTTCCAGAAACGAACGAGGCCATCTATGTCTCCGCAGAAAGGACTGGAAGTCCAGAAAATTATCAAAATGTATATACTGTTTCTGCACCTCAAAAACTGAAAATTTTTTCACACAAACTCAGAAAAAAATATTGTAGTATATTGCTAATATATTGGTAGTCTGTAGTTGACGCAACAGCCAGCGCCAGTGTCTACAACTAGTGGGGTACGTATCTACCGGATCGTTTTGAAGGGGCCCATCGTAGATTCGTGTAAAACAATAAACGATGGTTATTATATTGTAAATTATTTTTGTAGTGTACGTATATATGATGCTGTACAATATTATTTTTTAAATAATTATGTACAATAGTTCTAACAAACATTTAAATAAACATATAAATTAAGGTAACAATCTAAAATTCTAGACCTTTTGGAGGGGGGCATGGCCTCCTTGCCTACCACTGCAAACCTCGACCAGAAATCGAACCCGGGGTCGCGTCATAGAAAGCGAGTAGACTGACGAATGACGAGAATCGCGAGAGCATGTTATTATTATATAATTTGTTTGTTAGCTGTATAATCTTTTTTATATAATTAGCTGCCACCCTGTTATGCCCATTTCCAGTTCAAATAAACTTATCTCATCTTTATCTTATCTTAAGCATATAAAAGTTTCGCTCACTTCTGGTGGTGTTCGTATGCAGCTGCGGAAACGGTTTGGTGCCTGCTCGCGCGTCGCGGAGCTCCCTGCCAACGCTCCTCGTGGAACAACTGAACCGCAGTCAACGAGAAGCGCCCCCCTCCCCTCCCCCACCCGCACTGGGAGGTCAGGTCAAAGCATCCGGCTCGGAGGACAACGAGCTGATGGCAGTCCTCTCTCTCTCTCATTCTTGTTCCCTCTCTCCCACTCTCTCATTCTCTCTCCCACTCTCCCTCTTTTTCTCCATCTCTTTCCCTCTCCCTCTCCCTATATTTCCCGCTCTCTCCCACTCTCCCTCTCCATCTCAATATCTCTCCGTCTCTCTCCCTTTCATTCTCTCTCCCACTCACGCTCTTTCTCTCTCTCTCCCTTTTCCCCTCTCTGTCTCCCACTCTCCCTCTCCATCTCGCTCACTCTCTCCGTTTCTCTCCTTCTCACCGTCTCTCCATCTCTCTCCGTCTCACTGCCTCTCCATCTCTCTCTTCATCTCTGTCCATCTCGCTCTCTCTTCATCTCTCTCTCTCTCTTCATCGCGCTCTCTTTATCTCGATCTCACTCCGTCTCGCTGACTCTCTCGCTCTCTTATCTATTTCAATTTATCTTTCCATATCTCTCTCCATCCGTTTCTTTATCCCTCCTTTTCTCTTTGTATTCTTACTATCTCTCACCGGGAGAGTTGGTTCATGGCTTCAAATGATGTCACTTCAGTGCCTCCGACAGAGAGGCCGTACGTTCGAATCCTGATGGTGCCAAGATTTTGGACACGAGCTTGACAGATGGGTCGAATTCAGCCGCTGTCTGGAGGAGAATTCTTGTGGCTGGCTGCTCTGATCGGTAGTTTTCCGTAGTCTCTCCGATCAACACTAGACGAATGCCGGAGCAGTTACCTAACAAACGGG